CGAACGACGGCCAAGTATTTATTCACCAGCATTTTATTCATCTACTACCGGATATAAAATGTGTATGCGATTATATTTGAATGGTAATGGCAATGCTCGATGTACACATCTTTCTCTCTTTTTTGTTATCATGCAAGGTGAATATGATGCAGTTCTAAAATGGCCATTTCATTTCAAGATAACCTTTTGTCTATTTGATCAATCAGGACAAAAACGACATATTATTGATTCATTTAATCCAGATACGAAATCAAATTCATTTCAATTGCCTACAGCACAGATGAACATTGCATCGGGTATACCAAAATTCTTTCCATTAGCCGTGTTACAACAAGAAGAAGATAATTATGTAAAAGATGACACAATGTTCATCAAATGTATCGTGAATTTTAACGATTTTTCAACAATGATGTTGCCATATTTATTGAGTCTAAATCCGGGATTACCGAATCACGTTCAGGAAAGAATGATCGAAAATGAATTGCAGCGACGACAACAACAACAACAAAATCAATCTGTAATCACCACAACAATACCAGTCTCTAGTCCATGCACTTAACAGAAGAAAAAGAGTAGAAGTTATGGCTGAGATAATAGTGAAAAGAGAACGCAGTCATATAAGGAATTTCATTGTGCTATAAATCAAAAATAGAATTTTAACGTAAAGGTTTTAAAAAATTGAATTTTATTTCAGAAATTGTTGTATAAAACTAGCTAAAGATTATGATTTTGTTTTTGATTTAGCTAGTCTACAGAAACTTATCTTTATTAAGATGATGTAGTTAAACTAGATATTGTTTATTAATATAACTAAAATACAGTACTGCACAAAAATGGTGGCCACCTTTTTAACTCAAGATATGATAGCTAGTGACTTCTAAATTTGTGTGGTCACAGCTCTTACTGATTGCTAATCACTCCACCAGCATGTACCTCTTTTGCACGACGAATCATGAGATATGAGCCTTGCATTTATTTTTCATAAAATGTCAATAATTCTATTAACCTAGAGAGAAAATTTACAATGAAAACTTTTTCTTCGAAAACAGAATGCTAAGTACAATATTTTTATGATTATGATGCACATTGAATGTAGATTCTATAGTAGAAAGAGCAGCCCTTAGTTTCTCACCCTCGCTCTTCTACGTAGGTTTCAATCGTGGGTGCTCGTTTTCACTGAATTTACACAACCACACAATATTTAATCTTCATATTTTGGGTAGACAGTCTATAGACACTGTAGAGTCTTTGATGTGAATTTGAAGTCAAAATGATGCTCCTGGACTGCATCCTGGATATACATTTTCAATTCGCAAAGGACCTCAAAATTTTCAACAAAAAATTCTATTGAATAATTCAAACAATCTTTCAAATAACTGCCATCATCACGGCGATCGGTTCGAAGAGCATCAAGAAAAGTGCGCAAGAATTGATTAGTTCGTTCACATCTATCAAGTTCATTGTCTCGTACCATTGGGTAACCAAATACAAAAGTGCATGATACAGCTGCAATAAGTAGGGCAGTAATTAAAGAACAGAATTATTGCATGACTTTAATTGAGAGGATTAATTAAATGTAAAACAGAACAGGAGTATGAAGATAGGATAGTAAGGCGAAGAATTATGAGAATGAGTTAAGATATTTCTTGGTATAGAAATGTATGCTAGCAAGCGCTTATTGAAGTGGAAAATTTTTGATTTCAGTCAGTAAGAGAGAGGATACAGTAGTCCTTGATTAGACTGTCAGAATGAGTTAAAATGTGGCTTTTCACTACTAAATAACATAATATGATTATAACAATATTGCATTTATATGTCACATGGGCTATATTTTATTTAGTCGCGATATGATAAATAATAGCTTGTTTCTAATGGTGAACAGGCGTTGGTCATCCTTCAATTAGTTTCATTTACAAAGTGCGTGCGTCCCGTTTGAGAGTCAAATTATGAAAATGATGCGTAATAATTGCGTGAATAAGAAATTGCAAAGTATTAATTGATAGAAAGATAAGAAGTATCGTAAATGAGGGAGATAAGACGCCTATTCTCTTTATCTGGTTGAAATCGAATAGTAAATGAAATATTTGTCATGTTATATAGTACAGAAAAGCCACATTTTAACTCATTCTGACAGTCTAATCAAGGACTACTGCTGTATCCTCTCTTTTACCGACTGAAATCGAAAATTTTCCACTTCAATAAGCGCTTGCTAGCATACATTTCTATACCAAGAAATATCTTAACTCATTCTCATAATTCTTCGCCTTACTATCCTATCTTTATACTCCTGTTCTGTTTTACATTTAATTAATCCTCTCGATTAGAGCTATGCAACAATTCCCTTCAACTAAACATCTTCCCTTATATTAAAAATCCACTATTTATGCTCATTTCTCAACATTTATGGTCTCCGTATCATTCACCATCAGTCATGCTTCTAAGTCCATCATCTATGATCTATACTAGACACTATTTATGCTCTTACTGGGCGAAAACATTTACGACAAAGCATATTTCACGACTATGATAGCATAAATGTTAACTTAAGGAATCCTTGATGTGAGTGATGTAACAAATAATTGGAAATCTTTATTAATTTTTTATGCAGTGTACCGGGAATTAGAGCTGTATCTGTCTATGCAAAGCCAATTGTGTACCCCTCTCGTATTCAACTATTGCGTACGAGAGGAATGTGTGGATCAATCTGTCGTGACATGAGTATTTTGGTGTTTCTCTCTGTACTTTTCCGCTCTAAAAATAAGACGCGTTCGCCAAGCATTCTCGAGAGTCGAACTTTGGTGTACCACTTGTACCGATCCTCGGAAGTCCACCTGAACAGCTACTAAGTCCATCAGACAACGGATCAAACTGATTATAAACAGCAGCTTAGGTATGAGACTAATAGAAACTTGGAGTTCGTCCATGCTACGTTGCAAAGTGCAGAAACAACGGGACAAAGGGATAAGACCAGAAAGCTTGCAACCTTCTTCCTCAGTAATCCATCTTGGTGTGTCTGTTTTAGAGCTCAGGCTTTGTTTATACGAACGAGACTGAATATACAGGACACCTTATATTACAAAAAAAGTCAAAATTAATAAAACGAAGGAAGAGCTCGGAAAATACTCGGAAAACTCAAGTGTGTTTCCATTTTAACCTAAAATAGGGGCAAAAATCAGTTAAAATCACTGAACATTTTATGAATCTTTTAGAATGTATAGTGATTTTATAAGCGATACACTAAGATTTAAAAATCATTGTAATTCACAGTGCCGAGTGAGACATCAACCTATGCTTTCATGCATTTC